CGTGCTGCCGCAGACCGTGCTCTACATAGCGGACGCAGAAACGTTCAGCGGGCACGAGGAGTGCCACGAGCAAAAGAAAGGTAAACCTTGGAGTAACCCGCTCCCGCGTCAGGGAGCGCCTGGGACGCAGGTACGGCGCCTAGAGGAAAGTCAGCTGACGGGGAGTTCTCTCAAACCGAATTTCAAGGGAAAGTAAAGCTTTTGTGAGAACCGTGACCGCATAGTTTTACATTTGTGATGTGACGCGCAGCTCGTAGCTGTACGGCACGTTACACAGACGAGTTCCTTTCCCGCTCGCTGGAGGATATCGATTCTGTTTGCGTGCCGGTAGTCCCGTGCTCTTACCGATGGGTACAGATCTGCCGTGTTGTTAACAGGGCGGCCACTGATGGGCAGCATTGGTTAAATAGGATGGGACCGACTGCACGGTTTGTTCCAGTACCCTTCAGAAACGACTAATTTTTTCTCTCTCTCTGCTTTCCTTTCCTCTTAACAGCCAGGAAAAGAAACAGCAAAGAAACAGCAATTGCGCTCGAAAAATTGTTGCCAAAGCGATGTCAGGTTCTTGGACTGGTCACCCCAGGGATTGTAGGTAGGAGGAAAACCTGTGATTTTGTGAGAGACCAGCTTGACGGTGTCCAGTGTATGGCACATCTCTTCCGGTTCCTGTTTATCGCAATTCATACGTTTTTGAAAGCGCAGTCCTGCAGACTGACGGGAGAGTTCTCACAGCGAGTACCACGTTCACCCACCTTGCTCGGCACTAGCTTAAATTTTAAGGAGTTCATAGTGTCGTGGCTAAGTCGGGTAGGGCTTAAATTCTTACTTCATTTGATGCAGTTATAATTAAAAGGGTTGGTTTAATTGAGCAGGCAGCTTATTGCAGTTTTCCCTGGCACCTTAGCGTAATTATTGAACGTTTCTTGGATTTATCTATATTTTTCAGAGTCACGTTGTGACTAATTGCACAGGACATCCTCGGTACGTACTCATTTGTTATGGTCTAGCAGGAGGCACAGGCAGTAACTATGGAAAACTCACCGCCTCCGTCGGCAGCCTTCTTCTAGTGCTTCGCTTTTTTATCATTAGAAAGTTTTTTCCTAGTTTCTCACCTTGAATTCTGTTCCTGCAGCATAAGTAGGGTATTTGATTGTTTTCACTAGCGTAGTTCCATAATATGCTCCCAATATTTGCGTCTGTTTGCTTTACGCCGTCATCATGTGTATAACGTTACATGTGCTTGTATAACACCTTTCCCTGTTTCACTTCTGGTCCTCAAAAATCTGAGTAAGTTTGCGTACCTGCAGAAGTTGGCAGGAAGGTTTGAGACAGCTGCGTTGCACGATGCTTGTTTTCCAACTGATCTCTGTTCGGTGTGGCTGGGGGGAAGTGTCCACGTATATCCGTGTCTCCTTGTCCAAAGCGACCTCAGCGTGATCTATAGCCAGTAGCGTTCCCACATGCTTCATCTTGCGGAAACATCAACAAAAAACCCCACACCGGTTGTCAATTAGATATGTTGCTATGGAAATGAGCTGTCAGGTTTCACATTGTCTGAGCTGTTCTGCCTCTTTAAGCTGTGTGACAGCGTAGACGGAAGTTAATAGAATCACTGATCACGAGATGTCTGGTTTTGTGTCTTTGTAGTTACCCCTATGGGTTCAAGCAGCAACCAGCCTCAAGAAATTGAAGAGGGTGAAGCTGGGTTTGCTCTGTTGTTTCCCAAAATCGATGGGGTGAAAATTCATACCTTCCATTTTTCAAAAGACTTGAAGAACAGAGTCTTCGATGAAAGTAAATTTGCTGAAGCAGGTACGTCTCTGTTCTCCCCTCCATTTGGGCTTTTGTGAAGTGCTGTATTGCTCTTTTAGGCGCCAGCGTGGAAGCAGCGGCCTCTTTTCGAACGCCATTCATAGAGCACGCTGTGGCACTCTAGGGCTGCAGCTGGCAATTACGCGTCTCTGTTCTTCCCCTTCCCTGGAGTATTAAGATGAAGTTATCCTGAGCGTTGATCTCAGACTTCCTCAGGTTCCAAGTGTGAACTTCCTGTTCAGAGGGAGCTGTTAGGTTTTGAGCAACCTCTAATTGGCTTAAAATCATGATAAATGAGTTTGCGCCATCAGGAATGATTCCCATCACTACGGTTTAGAAACGAGCGGGGAGGAACTGCTTCTCTTCTTCCCAAAATGACTTTGCATTTAGATCCTAAGTCAGGTGGCGTAGCAAGGAAAGGTAGAACGGAAGACCCCATCGTTCAATAAATACAGTTCACGTTCCTCACGTTGTGTCCTCAGCAGGGTAGATCATTTACAAAGAGTAATATAACGAGGTTTTTCTTGAGTCTTCTAGGAACCTGGGAGTTTCTGCCTTGGGATAAGCAACTGGCTGATGCATGTAATGTATTTAATTTTCAGGTAAAGCTCTTCACTGCGTTGTGGTTCTTGTTGAATGACCTATACAGTCAGTTCTTACCTGCAAAGGGATGATGAAGGCTGCCAAGTAAAAGTTAAGAGTTGTGCCTTCAGAGGCTGTGGTAAAACTCAGATGCTCTGCTAAGGAAGTTGAAAGCCGGAGGAAGCAGATGCAGTCGTCTTTTCCTTGCTAGGTTCTTTTCAGAAATTCTCACTTACGTGGGGAATGCTGCCCAGCTCCTGAATGCCCGGGCAACTTGTGTCTTGTTTTCCCCATTGCAGCAATGGAAAGCCGTTACTAAAGGTGTGATCTGAGGAGAGACTAGGACGGTTGGACTTCAGGGGTCAGGGTTTAAAAATAAGAGGACTGGTGTTCGTGTTTTGGTTTGTAGGTCTGAAGAACAACCCAGATCTCCGGGTGGTTCTTCTGTTTGGCTACAACTCCTGGAAGTCTGGAGCAACTCGATTTCTTCATCAAATAGTCAATCCTTTGAATGAGAAAAGCATCATCCTGGCTGGGGGACAAGTGGAGAGCTTCACATCGCTGACCTCTGAGAAGTAGGTATCTCTTTCAAGGTAAATTGTAAAGAAGATTTAAAATGGGAGAAAAGCTGCAGAAGCCATAGCC